GCAAGAATTTTGCTCTGGGGAGCAGGAAAGGTCCTACAAATGGTGCCTGAGAGGAAGTTGGTGAGCTGCCATTCTATATGCTGAGAGATTCCAGCATGTTCTGTTCAGGGAAGTTCTACAGAAGCCATAGCTGTTTGTCACTTGCTAAATTGTGGTTTTGTTTCATGTCTTCCTTCAATGTAGTTGGCGGCAGCGGTCACAGCAACCTCTATCTTCTGCCCCTCCCCTATGCCTTTTTGCAGTCTGTCTGACTCTCATGATGTATGATATTTTTCTTTCAGAAGAAAAGAATGAAACTATCCTCAAAGAAATAACAAAATCAGAACTGGCTTCTATTTTTTTTAACATATTAAAAATTTGACAGAGCAAATGGTCTTTGGTTGTTCTTATTTCTGTTCAAAGTGAGAATCCTCAAACTGGTTTGCGAGAACATGGGAGAAGAGTAGCTAAGACTGCTATGTAAATTTCTCCTAAGTCTTGATAGCTTCATTTTTTTGTGACTGTTCAATATGTATGCAAGGGTGACCCACTGACCATCAACTCACAAATTCCCTACTGAATGCACATGGGCTCAGAATTGTAGTGAGAGTGTTTTTAGCTTACATAAAGTGGTGGCATCTCAAATGAAGCTGTGGGGTCTCACAAGATCATGTTTTCATGACTGGTTACAGTTCTTGGTCTTTTCTTATATAGAAGTTCTTCGTTTGTCTTGGGAGTTTATTTATTTGTCAAATTTATGTAGCTGGCCATTTCACAAAACAGGTGACTTGGGGGGCATATAACAATGGTTAGAACAGTTAATAAATACTTAAAATAATAGTTTTTGATTAAAAAAATTAAAAACTATAAAAGCAAAGATAAATTATGTAGTGGGCAAAAGGATGTTAATAATAAAGAGGCCACTTCACTGGTTCACTAGGACTTTGGGGTACCCAGGTCTGATGGCACAATCAGGTCTTGAGGGACCTTTGGAAGGTCAGCAGTGATCCACAAAGCGATGCCACAGCAGAAAGGCCCAGTGGCCTTACATCCGTCCAACATATGTAATTCCTTAGATGACAACCTGTTACATGCTGTCTATGCTGGATCTGGAGGGATGGGCAGATGTGATTGGGGAGAGGTAATCCTCCTCCAGAGAACCTGGCCTCATGCCATATAGGGGTTTAAAGATCCAACATCGGTAACTTGAATTGGACTCCAAAACAAATAGGTAACCCATGCAACTTAGAAGTGTAACATGTTCTATCAGAAACACACATAACTTTGTACTGCTGCATTTTGCAACAGTGAAGTTTCCGGATACTCTTCAAGGGCAGCCCCATGCAGAGCACATTACAATGGCCCAACCAGGAGGTGACCAGTGTGTGAGTGACTGTGAGTATGGGTCTCAATATAGGAAAAGGCACAACTGGCACCCAATATGAAGTTGTGCAGAGACCTTCCTAGCCACTACTGCCATCTGTTCATCAGGCAGAGGTTGTGAGACCAGGACTCTCAGATTGCTCACAGAGTTTGTTTGGGGCAATGCAATCCCACCCAACACCAAAGAGAATTTCCAGAACCAGAGAACTCCAAAGCCCAAAGCTTCTCAATCTTGCCAGGGTTCTCAATCTTGCCAGGGTTTAGGTGAAGCCTATTGCTCCCCATCCAGCATTGATCTGGAAGGATATAATGGTTGATGATGTTGAAAGCAACTGAGAGATCAAAAAAGGGAAGGATGAATACACAACATTCATGCCAGATATCATCCAACAGTGCAATCAATGCTCTTTTTGTGCCATCCCAGGTTTGATTCTATTCCCCCCCAATCTAATACAAGAATATATATTACATAGATTCTTTTTTCTTCTAGAAAACTCTATGGATTTTCTCAGGACTGTTCTCTCAACTGCACCTGACTTCTGGCTCTATTATGGTTTTGCACGCACCTTAGCTCTCAGATGACATCCAGTCTCTGCCTTCCCCAGAAACAGAACATTCTGTACACAAAGCCTTTTGTCTTCTGATGTTTTGTTCTGATAACATCCATTTATCTTCCATGGCAACCTCCAGGTTCTAGAAGTTTCCTAGTGTTCCCTCCCTTAACATTCTTAACCTCATCATTGTGATACGTTGCATTTCCAAGTTTCAGAGGTTAAAAATATGTATCCGTTTTCAGGTTTCACAAACCCAGATGTATGCTATGTTGATGCACATCACTACTGTTTAGAAGGCAGTGTTGTTTAAACCAGCTGCTGCATAGATTCTTTCTAATATGAATGTATATGTGAGTGGATTTTCCCTATTTTTCTCTTAAAAGGGAAATTAAATCCAAACTTGCAAAAATAATTTGAATAGTGAAAGATCAAGATTAATACCACTTTACAATGCCTTGGTAAGGCCACACTTGGAACACTGCATCCAATTTTGGTCACCGCAATGTAAAAAAGATGTTGAGACTCTAGAACAGTGGTTCTCAACCTTTTTAATGCCGCGACCCCCCAACCGGTCGTAAGTCGAGGACTACTCAACTGGTGCAGCACCGTTTGCAGAATGGGACTTTTGGCAGGCTCAGCAGGGCAGAGATAGCCTGGACAATTCCTATTGGCTTTTGAAAGCCAATAGAATTAGACTCTATCCAACTACTACTACTACTACTACTACTACTACTACTACTACTACTACTACTATTATATTGCCAGAAGTATCTAACAGTCTTAGATTAATGCACATTTTTGTTTGATAATGGTGATACTAAATAGTATTGGCCTTTTACTCTACCAAAAAAAAAATACAAAGTATCCAACATATTTTAGAAATCTGTCTGAACCGAAGTGGAACTGTTGTAATTACTGGGGACACCCAGTATAAGATTGGAGACGTTCAAATGCTGCCATCTAGAGGATCCAGAATATTATGGACAAGTTCCTCTGATAACAATACCAGGGAAAATTGAGGGAGAGATCTTAAAATGAATTGAAATAATTAAAAATATTAAGTGAGACACATTCACGCTTATTTTATGCAAAACATTTACACAGGTATGGGATGAAGGGTTATGATCGTGGAAATTGCATGGGAGGATAATTTAAGCATTGATTCCAATGTTTCCAAGCTGCTGGAAGGAATCACTTTTTATTCTGCATGATTTAAAGCTCATCTAGAATACTTTGGCTGGTTCTGCATGCTCATTTGAAGTAAGGTGGAACAGAAGGAAACTTTATAGAAACATTTGTGAAATGATGAAGGAAATGGGTTATTTTAATAAAGATCAAAGACCAACCATCCATTGCCTTCACAGAGCAACTCTAGGTAGAGATGTAGTTAGTCACTTAGGAAACTGATAACTGGTAATCTAAATATTCACTTCCTCCACTAGATTGCTGTATGATGCTGCCTAAAAATACTATATGCATCCCAAGGGATGTCTTTCACCGCTGGAGTTAGAGAGTGGACTTGCTTGCTTTTAGTTTTTACGCTAAATCCATGGAACATATTGTTTCCAATGTCAGTTTCACAGACTCACATCATTTATTCTGTTACTATCTTCTCCTGTGCTGATGGCGCCATCTTTCTCTCCTGGATTGCAAATGGCCTTTAGCAAAATCTCTAAACTCTGGCAATATTTTGTTTGCCATGATGAAAAGCTAGAAATGAGTTTCTCCGAAACTAAGATTTTTGATAGTATTCTACCAAATACAGGTAAGATCAATTTGCAAAAGAAATTTTGCAGGGTATTTGATGCCTGTTGGTGTTGCTAATTTATGAATAATTAACATTGATTACTATTATGATGATCAAAGGTAGTTCTACTAAATATCAGGTTTTGGAATTTTGATTTTCAACCGAGCAATTTTTTTCTTCAGAATTTTAGTGTGGGAAAAGTGACCATATTAGTTCTGGAGGTAGAAAAAAATTGCATTATATAAATTTTACCATAAAACTGCAAAAAGATCTAATCTATATTTTTAAAAGATAAGGATAGAGGCATATTATATAACTGTTTAATTTCACCACAAAGCCATCCATTTGCAAACCAAAAGTTCTGGTTTGGATTGCATCTTACAAAATGAAGTACCTTTTTCTGCTCTGATAGTTGGCAAGGTCTATGAACTGGTAAATGACATAGTAAAAGGAGATGGCGCTTCCCTGAGGCTGAGAAATTATCCTTCAGTTAGGGATGAGTAAACCAGGTATTTATCTCGGAAAGAGTCTATAATTTTATTTCATTTTATTCATAAAATGTCTACACCATCCATCTCATCCGACTCCGAGCAGTTTACAAACAGTAAAATAATATAAAAACTTGACTAAAAGCCCAATTATAAGGTGTGGTCTTAATGCCACATGATAAAAGGGTAGTTCTACTAAATATCAATTTTTGACACGGATTTTCAAAGAAGCCATTTTTTCCCCTTCAGAGTTTTAATGTGGGAAAAGTTACCAGGCATTGTGATGTTACTATGGCAACCCACCTTCTTTCTGTCTGTGGAGATTCTCAGTCATCCAGGTCATAGTTATCCCAAAGATGCTTTTTTTTTTCCGCGAGGCAACTTAGGGACCACCTTCTTTCTGTCCCCCCCCCCCCCGTCATAACTCTCTTATGCAGCTTCTTTGCATAGAAGCTGCATAAACTCCCACTGTGGTTTCTTCTCCTTCAAAAGGCAAGCACTTGTGTTGAAAAAAAGAGAAGATAGCTGAAGCTTCATCTGGATCTCTGGAATTCTTCCCTAGGTTTGCAATCAGAACACTGATATGACTATTCAGAAAAGAATGTGAAGAAAGTACTTTCTGAAAACTTTCCATATATGAGCACACTTTGAGGAATACTGCCTTTAAAGAATGTGCACTCAGACAATTAGGTTTTATGATAAAACAAACCAAAGGCAAACTAGTAACAAATCATGTAGTTCAGCTCTAAGAAGACAAGCAGATTTTGTCAAGTCTTCTAAAGTTGGCCTTAACTGCCCTGTAACTGTTTCCAGGATGAATTTGATTTATTTTACAGCAGTAACACTTCCTATTTTGTAGGGTGGATAGATGCCATTAACAGAGGACATCTCTTCTGTGGTTTGAATTAATTTTAGCGACAACATACTTATACCAATTAAATATGAAAGAATTTTAATTGGTATATTTATACACACATCACCAAGATCTGTCAATGTTGGGATAATTGAAAATGTAATAGTCATGTTAGATCACTGATGATTCAACAGTTTTCAGAGTTTTGCATTTTTTTTATTTAAAGCAATGTCATACGTTTTCATATTATACACACAAACCTTGCTTTTTCTAACCATATCAGTTTATCTAATGCTATTGAGAACATTATTTTCATGTATAGAATATCATTTATAAATGAAGAATGTAATAAATAAATGACACCACTATCCCCAAAGAAGAGTGTTATGGCTCCATGCTAGGAAAAGATGCTGCAATTTCACTGCACATTCATGGCAACTTTGATACAATATGATTTTTTTTAAAAAAAAAACCCCTAGTTTTACCATTTGTTCTTCTATGCGTTGTTAAAAAATGCTGGGTTAGGCGATGGGACCGAATACTTTTTGGGATCAACTGCTTGGAGGGTGGAATTTGAAGTCTCATTGATGGAGGCTATAGGTTCTGGAGGAATCTTGGGTGGGACGGAATTTGGGGCTTCCCCTAATGTAACAGAGGGCTTTAAGGGACTATGTGTCGAGAGGGTGAATCCTGGAGGCTCTTTGACGGAAATATTGGATTTTGGAAGATTCTCAGATAGAAAGGTGGTATTTGGGAACTTTCTTATAGAAACTGTAGGCTTTGAAGAACCCATGGCTGGAAGCTCAGAATTAGGCCATTTTTTTAATGGGAGAGTAGATTCTTCAGGGTATATGTCTTGGAAAGGAGTAGTCAGAAGATCTACTCCTGGATGGGTAGTCTTTGGCCTCTGGTCACCAGTAAAGACTTTTTCTGAGACTGGCGGTGAAGAGGTGACTTCTTCCAAGTCACAGCCTGCAATATATTTCCTCAGATCTTGTCCTTTACAGTGTATGCTCCAGGAAGTCCTGTAATGAACAATTCTTGGTCAGAATATTGCTGCCATTCAGTTGACTAGACATGTACCTGGGAAGACCAAGGTATGAATGTTGCCACATGGAAGCCTGAGCCCCCAAATAACTGCCAAATTATTGTACTAATAATCAAGGCATCATGTTTCATCCCTCCATAATTCATATCGTTCCCTTAACAAATCTTTCTGTTCCATCGTCACTGAATATGATATGCAGAAAGGGTAGCCAGCCTATAGCCCCAGGGCCTCAAACAATCTCTCAATCCCATAATAATAATAATAATAATAATAATAATAATAATAGTAGTAATAGTAGTAGTAATAGTAATAATAGTAATAATAATAATAATAATAATAAAATTGGAAGGGACCTGTTGCTTCTTGTCCTGCCTTTAGGTGACTCCCTCTTCTTTGTGGCAGCCCCTGAGATATTGGAACACTGCTATCATGTCCCCCCTCATCCTTCTCTTCATTAAACTAGACATACCCAATTCCAGCAGCCGTTCCTTATATGTTTTACCCTCCAGTCCCCTAATCATCTTTGTTGCTCTTCTCTGTACTCTTTCTAGAGTCTCAACATCTTTTTTACATTGTGGTGACCAAAACTGGATGCAGTATTCCAAGTATGGCCTTACCAAGGCATTGTAAAGTGGTATTAATATTTCACGTGATCTTGAGTCTATCCCTCTGTTAATGCAGCCTAGCACTATGTTGGCTTTTTTGGCAGCTGCAGCACACTGCTGGCTCATATTTAAGTGATTGTCCACTAGGATTCTGAGATGTCTCTCACAGTTACTACTATTGAGCAAGGTACCCCCTATACCAGGGATTTTCAACATTTTCACCCATTGTACCACTTTTAGGACATGGCAATATCCAAGTACCATCAGTCGCCTAGCAAGGGGTCAAAAACGTGATGATCAAAAAAAAAAAAAAGGAAAAAAGTGATAAAGTACAGGTAGTCCTCAACTTACAACAGTTCGCTTAGTGACTGTTCAAAGTTACAATGGCACTGAAAAAAGTGCCCCCCAAGCCACAGCTGAGCAAGACACCTGCCTGCCCGCCTGGTTGTGCTCTTCCTCCTGTCCGAGGTTTTTATTGTTATGAGCATTTCTGTTGAGGATTGGCAGTGGGGGTGGGGTGGGGGGGTGTTTGGTTTTAATTCCCCTGTCTGCTGGGTGGTTGCAGCAGGTTTTGATCACTTCACATGATCCTGGGACACTGTGACTGTCATAAATATGAATCAGTTGCCAAGCATCTGAATGTAAGTCACAAGACCCTGGAGATGCTGCAACATTCCAGCTGATCGGCGCTTCTTCTGGGCTCAGCAGAAGCGCCAGGATCAGTGCTGCTTTCCAGCTGATTGGTGCCTGAGCTCCAGCTGGAGCCTGGTGCTGATCCTCACACTTCTGCTGAGCTCTGACAGCCCTGCAGCTCCAGCCATCTCTCACTCAGCCTTGTGCGGTACTGCCACCGGTTCAGCTCATTTCCCTCCCCTACTATCACTTTTTTAGGATAGTTGCGTACCACCTGCCAGGTGCCAATGTACCACAGGGGGTACCCGTATCACTGGTTGAAAAGCCCTGCCCTATACTATACCTGAACATTTGGTTTTTCTTGCTTAAATGTAGAACCTTACTTTTTCACCATTGAATTTCATTTTGTTAGATAGTGTCCAGTGTTCAAGTCTTTACAGTCCCCATGGTCATGACTGCTGAAAACTGATAGCACAATTTCCTGTTCTGAGGTGAGAAGCACCTGATAATTGCAGTGTAAGTCCTAAAATAAGCATATCAATAGACTTTTAAAAATAATTTTCCCCTTGAAATGCTGACTTTGGTAGCCAAAAGTGTCGTTTCTTGTTCCACCATGAAAATGCGCAATTCTGGATAAAGTAATGGTGTCCTCTGTTGTCCTGCACAGATTGCTTTGTTCATCACAGGAGAAAAAGCAATGTAATGATTTCCTGGGTTCTGCACAGAGAACTGGATTCCACGAAAAACTGGATTCCAAGAAAAAGGCCTTCACACAGAGGACAGGACTTCTCCCCCTTAAGTTTTTTTCACTGATGACATTTTGCCTGCTGGGGCAGGTGAACAAATGACTCTAGTCTCAGATTCAGGTATGTTGGACAACTTTCAGTTCTGTGAGTTGCATCTCAAACATTTCTAGAGAAAGCCAGACTAGAAAAACTACATTAATGTTCTGCTCAAGATCAGTCTGGTGATAATACCTTCCTTCTCCTTTGGTGAGCTTTCCTGAACTGAATTTGGCCTTCTTGCTTTATTTCACTTTAGGCATAGGCAAAGCATCAAAAATGCAACATTTAGAGGAGAGGCAAGCACAATTCCTAGCTTTAGAAATGACTTCTATTTTTGCTTTCCTGCCTTCTTTGGAGAACAGGAGCAATGGCAACTACAAATAATCACCCCACACTTTAGCCCTTTGTGGAGCTATTCAGGCAACATATAGACCTCTCCAGTAAATTCATGACAGTTTTGTTCCAGAACTACCTTACTTTCCTTTTGGTATATGTGCTTGATAACAAAATAAATAAGAATATAATAATCCATTTACCATGCTGCAAAGCCCATGCTTTTTTGGACAACTCTCTTGGCACATTGAATATCATCAGTAATGTTATCATCCCGCAGGGCTGAAGAAGAAAAGGATGGGAGAATTAAAAAGTCTACTTGAGCATAGTTATTGTTAAAGTCAGAGGAAGTAATAAATTGAGAAAGGTAAAGTAAGTTGATTCTTGAATAAGTTCATATTTTGTCTGTGCCAATATGTGGTTAGTTTAGTGGCTTAATGTAGGTTGTGTGACTCCAGACACAGCCACTCTGGTCTGGCAATCAAAGTTTCTAACCCATTATAGTATGAACCTAGCCAATGACTTATTGAGCAAACCATCATGGTAATAACAAGCCAGACTTAAATCAATGTATAAACTCATCAATGTGTAAACATTAATGTGTAAACCCAACTCAAAGTCGGGTTACAATGTTGGACTGTTGCATACTCATACTAGAGTATTCCAATGCCTCCAGACTTGCAGTGAGGTATATTCTCCTTTTGAAAGCCTATTCAGTCCTTGTTGTCTGCTACAGCACTATGAAACTCAATGCATTTGACTCTGTGAGCCCTGGATATTGTTAGTTTTGAGAAGAAGATAAGAAAAAAATAAGAGAAGTGCTTCTGAGTGAATATTTTGAAAGAGGTAGCCCTTGAAAGAATATAGGAAAACTAAAGAAAACAAAGCAAAACGAGATGCCAATATTATAGTGCTCTTATATTAATCAAAGGGGCATCTCATCTGGATTTTTTCTGGTCATTGTCAACCTCACAGAGGATACAGTGGAATTAAAGAGGTTTCAGAAGAGGATAATTAAGGTAATCAAGGGACTGGCACAACTTCCTTATCAGAAAAGGTTGTGACATTTGGGCCTTTTTCATCTAGAAAGGAGGTGAATAAGAGAGGACATGATTCAGGTGTATAAAAATACACAAGATGTGGATAAAGTAGGTAAGGAGAAGCTAAAGTAGGTAAGGGGATCATGGAAAGTCATGATTTCTTACCTTCACAACTTAAGTTGCAATAGTTGCGTGCATGTGGTGTCTTGAAATCGTCACACCACCACTTTGCACTTAGCAAGAAGATCCCATGATTGGTAGCCCTTGGTCCCACATTGAGGGCTGAGGTATCAAAGCCACTGCTATGAAACACCAAACAAATCCCTGGAGGTAGAGGAAAGCAGGCTCAAAAAAAAAATCATATGATGGTCTGACTCACCATTTCCCATCAAAGAGTGATAGCAGGAACCAGTTATGGAAGGAGAGAGCTACTTGTAGCCCAAAGAATGAATGAGTTCTCTAGAGCGTCCAGAATTCCATGGCTGAAATTTAGTTATCTACTACCAAGACAGTTGGGCTGAATGGAGCTACATAGCTGCATTAAAGACATTTCATAAAAAGCATCATTTAAGGATCACCAAATGTTAACAGATTGCATTTCGAAAATAGACAAGTAGTGTTACAAATACACCAAAGGCATAAAATGAAAAGCTGATGTGGGGAATCAGGATATTTCAGCATAACTGAGGAGGCTACAAGCAGAACAAAATGAGGAGCACTTACACTCTGCTATTGTGGTGCCTGAAAATCCCTCCAATCCATTGTCCTTCAGGATGGCTGAGAGGTTGCATCTGTCAAAGATGATAGCATTGCTCCTCATTGCCCCTGCAACAATGAGAAAAAGAAGAACTAAGTAGGGAGTCTTCATTTCAACACTGCAATGATGATTGGGGAAACATAACACGGTTCTTTATATGCTGCAGGGAGGAGATGGAGCTGCCCAGCTGCCCCACATAGTAGGATTATGTGCCAGTATTCCTCTACCCCCAGGAAAGGATTTTTTCCCTCACTGAATACTCAAACATCCTACACATTCTTCAAAACAATGTCACAATTGCTTCCCTGGGTTCACAATGTCGACCAACCTTCTCAACTGGAAGAATTATGGAGAAGAGGAATTGTGGCAGGTGCTGATTGTGGCATCACTCATAGTGCCACTGGGGCTTGAAAACCTGACACCTGACCAGTTGTTAAGGGTACAAGAGACCTAAAAGTGGGTGTCCCTGCAGTGCTAAAACAAATGGCTAACGCTCTGGAGTTGCTGAAGGAGTCTATCCCGTAAAGTGGATCCAGGGCTACACTTCCAGGGCTACACTTCGGCAACTTTGTCAATTGCCCATGTGTATTACAAAAAAGGGACTTTGGTAAATCCTTTAACACAAAGCAAGCAAATGAACAGACATCCCCCAATACCTGATCGGATAAAGGAGCATATTTGTAGCTTGGGGTTGAAATGAAGGGTCCTTGGTGCTCTCTGAGCTTGGTTGTTTTCTTGCAGATGTTTCATTACCCAAACTAGGTAAGATCATCAGTGCTGATCATTGCACTGATGCTGCTGCCTAGTTTGGATAATGGAACGTCTGCAAGAAAACAACCAAGCTCAGAGAGCACCAAGGACCCCTCACCACCTGACCAGGAATGTATTTAAGATAGAAAGGGCCTTTGATAAAGACAGCAAGATGGGCCCCTCATATCATGTAGACTGAGGTTAAAAGCATGCACAGAGCACAGTATCAAACAATGCTCTTATTCAACCAAACCCCAACCCATCCCCAACCCCAACCCAACCCAACCCAACAATGTCATGTATTGCTTCCCTGGGTCTCTGTTCACAATGTCGACCAACCTTCTCAACTGGAAGAATTATGAATCAAACCAAACTAAATGCCTTTAAAAAGCTGACTGAATCTAAGAGACTGCATATAGCACAATAATAATAAATGACATGTCAGATCAAAGAAAACCAAATTTTTACAAACTAAAAATGGCAATAGCTTCCTTTTTGGAAGGCACTTCTTCCCCTCTCCCTTTTCTTTTCTTCTGTCTACTCTAAGCTGTTGAGCCTGCTAACCAGAGCAGTGTCCATTGCGACGCCTGAAACGTTGCGCAACCTAAGAATCATATACAGGTAGTCCTTGACTTACGACCACAATTGAGCCCAACTTTTCTGTTGTTAAGTGAGACATTTGTTAAGTGAGTTGTGCTCCATGTTATGACTTTTCTTGCCCCAGTTGTTCAGTGAATTGCTGCCGTTGTTAAGTTAGTAACCTGGTTGTTAAGTGAATCTGGCATCCCCATTGACTTTGCTGCTCAAAAGCTTGCAAAAGGGGATCACATGACCTTGGGACACAGCAACGGTCATAAGTATGAGCCAGTTGCTAAGCAGCTGAATTTTGATCACGTGATCGTGGGGATGCTGCAAAGGTCGTAAGTCTGAAAATCGGTCATAGGTCACATTTTTCAGTGCTGTTGTAACTTTGAACATCACTACATGAACTGTTGGAAGTCGAGGACTACCTGTATCCCTTTTGACTGCTGGATGATCAGGTTTGGGGCCTGACAGGAGTTATCTTGGTTGTATATAGGTGGGAAGGAGTTGTAAAGGGTGATTCATTTTTTCTCTCTTTTCTCCCTTTTGATCTGCAGATAGAGTGATTAACTTTAGAATAAACAGTTTTGTGGCAGCTCATTCTCCATTGGCAGCACCAACATTTGGGATGTTGCTTTGGGATGTGTGATTTTTCAAGCTTTAAATTTAAAGGATGACCTCTTTGCAGCTGCTATTATCACAGGTATGGTTAAAAAAAGCACTCATTCAGGGACAGATTTCAATAAAATGTAACGACGGCATGGCTTTCTATGATAGGATATTCTGCAACTTCTTTTATGGTTGATTTTTTTTTTACTAGTTTCCATCATGATCTGAAGAAAAATAACACCATGGAAATAAAACCTGAGAAGTCAAAATTGTATTCATCAAATTTCTCCTACTGTCTATAATCTTTCGTCAGAGTAGCAGATGTAGACATTACTTTATTCTGGCTTCTAAAACTATGTTTTATTTGCGGTGCCTGGTATGGCACATAATGTAATCATGCTGAACACCTTTACAAATATTGCTCCTTGATTTTCACAAATGTCAATAGCAATTTTTAGTTCACCCATGTTACATGGCAGTCCCAAGACAAACAGTCGCAAACAATTGGCAATGACCGAGGGGCTGAGCAAGAAAACATTGTGATATTTATATAGCAATGTTATTCAACAGAATTTTATGTGATTTATTAGGGCCAGAATTGCCTAAATGTCTTTTACATGGTAGGCAAGGCAGACATTGGCTGCTTGGGAGATTATTATAAACTGGGGAATTATCAGTAAGACAGAGGAGATTATTGGAACATTCACATGTAAATATATATTGTAGAACAGGGGTCTTTAAACCTGGCCCATTTAAGACTAGTAGACTTCAACTCCCAGAATTCCTCAGCCAATGTGCCTGGCTGAGGAATTCTGGGAGTTGAAGTCCACCAGTCTTAAATGGACCAGGTTTGAAGACCCCTGTTGTAGAAAATGCAACCGGGGTGGGTGGTCCTTCGAAGATGGCATGCTAAGTGACAGGGCCATTTTTCTCTCCTGCTGGCAAAAAGCTAATTTTGCCACCACAGCTGGTTCTCTGGTGGCATGTTCCCTAAATTTGAACAGAAGCTCCTAGGAATGACTCAACATAACCCTCAGGTGACTTACCTGAGAAGAGGGAAACTATTATTTTCAAAATATATTTATCTGTATTCAAACTGGGGGGGGGGAATTATGTTTTGTTCTTGTTTTTACTTTTAATGCAAATTCATTTTCTTTCTTTGTTTTGTATTTCCCCCCTTTTTTACAATTTGTATTTTATTTTTTGAGTAAAAAATAAATATTTATTGAAAAAAAATGCAACCTGGCAAGATACAGGAGGGCATGAATTGGGAGAAGCTGACAAAAGAAACACACGGTCTATCGGTTCATTGCTAGGAAATAGATAGAATATCCATAAAAGGACATGCCATATAGCATGTAACTTGCAGGCGTTTGAGTATTACAGGAACTTTGGGCATTCTAGAGTTAAAAGGTAGGAACCCAGAACGAGGTCATCAAACCTCATATTCCAGCCAACTCTGCTGGGAAGAGAACCAATTCAATAGCACAAACAATAGCTCTGGGGACCCAAGACACTTCCATTTTTCTGCCTTTCCTAAGAACAACAAACAGTGCAGGGCTAGGCTGGGAAATATGCATTTGCAGATATGGAGTGCTCTCCTCCCCAGCAACCCGCAGTAAATTGTCTTGTTACTAAGAAAACAAGTCCTGAGCTCCACAGGGGAATTTTACATTTTGATTACTCAGCCCACTAGCCACTGAATACATTCCCCGGAAGTCTTCCACACTATGGAAGTTTTGGGGTATACACAATAGCTCTGTTTTTCCTTTGGGTCTTCCATTTTTCCACCTTCTTGTTAGGTTACACTTTGGTTGGATTTAGTCTGTTCTACACCATAACACATTTGTTTGTTTCTGTCAAGCATTTTTGCAGTTGATAATAATATGTAGATTCAGCCAATATTAAATCATGCTTAAGCAAATTGTAGCCTGAACAGTGGGTGAACTCAGCCTGATTTTATTTTTGTTGACTTATTGTTTGCTTCCAGCAGCTATCCTGATTTCCAGTAATCATACTGCTGTTGAAAGAAAAATCTTCATCAGAGTCCAGTTCAAGCTGGGAATAATTAAAATGGGGACTGCTTTAGAAAGAAAGTTGTAGTTTATTGAAGAATAGAGCCAGAGAGAAAGATGGCTCTGGGAAAGTTGACCACATGTAATAGGGAGTGGTGGGTTTTTATACCTTCTTGGGGTTGTTTTGAGTTGTTCCTGTGGCATGAACTTTGACCTGAGTCTGAGTGCGCTTTTCTGGTATTCTGATGGTGGTGGGTTAATCCTATTATGTCCCAAAGGTCATATCCTGCTTCCCTGGCATTTATGCAGATCTGGTTTCTGTTTGGGGCAGAGAGACTTGGAGTGGAGCGGTTGGTTTCTACCTTTAAGATCCTTTGGGGAAATATTATATTCTGCCTTTTAAATATTCCCCAAATATGTCTTTTTCTGAGGGGGGGGGTGCTGTCCTCCCACACTGCGTTGTTTATATTTTCTCCCCATCCAGTAACCCTCCCTATTTTAGGTTTTCCCACCAATTCCAGTTTTCCACCGGTTTCTGTTTTTCTTTAATTTTATTTGGATTCCTTTAAGTCTATTTCAGCAATCTTATATCTGACTTATTTGCTGCTTATCTACTGTGAAATAAAGGAATCCCATCCTGCAATTTCTTCTCCTTTAGGCTCACCATCCTGCCAGCACTGTTTCTGGGAATTTATGTGATGTTGTAATCCTAGCTCAGTGAATGCTGCTTCCTCCAGAACACCAAAAACACTCTGTTTTTATCCTCATCTAGTTAAAAGAGTCTTGTGAAGTTTAGACATCCACCAGAATTCTCCACCTTTCTTCTGATGGTCCTGAAAACCTTTAGCTAGTGGAAGGAATCATATTGTATGAGTCATGGGGTGAGACACCAATGCAAAATTTGTCCATTACCTAGATTGTAAAGTCTGGGAATAGAGTAAGTTGCTGTGCAGGTTCTGAGGTATATATATATATAAAAAAATACAGGAAACCAGAAGTTGCCTTTAAGCTTTACATTTTTATTCAGCTGAACAAAGACGGGCTCCTCTAAAAGAGAGAAGCCCCGAATGACAAGAAATCCTTGTATTTATTTTTCTGATTACATAAGCAGT